AAGTCTGATTGTAGGCCTTTTAGCCTTGAGAGTGGCCATGTCCCAGACCACGAGGAGCCTAGAATTAAATACCATCAGGTCTAGTTCTTTACCATTAATGTTATCGTCTTCATCAAGTACTTCCTTTCAGAGTTGGTCTCTGCAGATAAATAAATAAATCTCATTCTCCCAAGTTGTGTTCCTGGCCAGACAGAAGCTCAGCCATAAGAAAAATCTGAAGTGGCTTCTCCAGGGCTGTGGCTCTCTCTTTCCTTGTTCCCAAGGCTGGGCAGGACCGGAGTGGAATCTCCACAGGAGATCACATCACTTCCTCTTTCAGCATGGCACCAAAGTTTGCCTTCCTTTCCTAGCCTTCCCAGACTTCCTATGGCTTGCCCTGGATACACCCACACACAGTCAGCTTTGAAGCCCAGCACATCAAAGAATACCTGCAGGTAACCAGGGTGCTGACCGAGTGGCTGCTTCCTTTCTGAAATTTGTAAGGAGGGAAACGGGTTCAGGAAATAGGATACATGCTTCTCAGAAAATCTTTGTGTATGTGTAAGCTTTAATAACTCAGGATGATAGAAACCATCTGTATGTGGAATTTGAAAGGAAATTTATTAAGCTTTAGGACAACTACATTACACAGTTTCATACAATGTATTTTTTATTCAGATCCTGCCTCAGCATCTCAGACTTTTCGGAGAAGTCACCATAGAGTAATGGAAAAAGTAAAGAAAGTAAAGGAAAAAAGAATTGGGATTGCATTCTGGCTCTGCCCCTTAACGACCATGGGCAACTCACTTAGCCTCAGGTGTCTTGGGCTGTAAAATGGGTGTAATAATATTTACACTCTCTGTCTCCTAGAGTTACTCAAACAGGATTTGCTGTTTCGTTGAGGTGGTTGTTTCCACCAGTGATGCTGATCTCAGTCCATCCATACCTGCCCCATCCTGCACAGCTATTGTCCATGACTTCCCATGAGACCACCACCTCCTATGTTTGGGACCTTCCTTATTTTTCCCTAATACCCTAAGTAAACCAGTGGAGTACTCAGATTGTCTGTTTAGTTACTAATCTCTAGGCCTCTTCACAAGACCAGCCCATCTTTTTCAATCACATGATCCTTTGGTGGTATTGTATTGTTTGTTCTTTATAATTCTTTGGTATATGATGCAGCCTTCTCACACCTACTGAGTACCTTCTGAACAATGCTAAATTTTAATTCTTTGGAAATGACAGTTACAGTATCCCATGCTTCATAACCATAAAGTAATATGGAAGACCTAAATGGCTAATGTATGTAAACTTTAAGTCTAAATAAATGTAAGTTAGTATTATTATCTCTCCACACACAAAAAAATTGCTCATCATAGATAAGATTGACTTTTTGCTCTGGCCAGCAAGTGCAAGTTTATGGAATAATTAAATCCATATAGGTTATGAAAAGAAAATTCAATACTTATTACCTGAAAGTTTATGTATTGTTTATGTTAAGATCTGTAATCAGGATGGACTGTGCCCCAGGGTACCAAAATTAAAGGGTGCTTACTACACTTACACTCTTAAGCTTAACACTTAATTAGCAAAAATAATTAGTTAAAATATGAAGCTACTAGCTGAAGCATACTCCTTGGCCTCTCTCTCTTTTTCCCCTCCATGGTAGAATTCCCAACAGCAGGTAGCTTTGTTAAGCCCAACCCCTACCCCCATATTCACACATGCATGGGTTAGCATCCTGGGGTCTCTTCCTCCATGATAACGTGTGTTCCATATGGCTCAAGGTCTTCATCTCCCCTCACACCCAGCTAGCCTCCCCACAACTGAATATCTATTTAAAAATTGTTTTAGGGTGCTTTTCATGGTATGTATCATAGGCCCATTTTGTGGTACTTGCTATGGGAGCCAGAATTGCTAATTAGGCTGTTTCTGCTACACTTATCACCTATGCTTTTAATGATGTCAAACCTTCATAAGCACTGTAATGAAGTACTTATATGTAGTGGGGGGGGGATTAAAGTAGAGAAATTAATATAAGCATCTCAATCTGTGTAGTCACAAAATAATACCCAGCGGTGAGTTTAATAATTCTTGAAAAATTAGCCTTTTGACCTCAAAGAGTTTAAGGTTTAATAGTCATGAACAATGTGCCTTTTGCTCACTATTTCACTTGATAAGTGACCTCTACTTACAGCTCAAAATTTCTACCTTCTGCTAACTATAACTATAAAAAGCTATAAGAATTTCATGCTGCAATTTCTTCCTATTCAATCTGGGGAATAAAGGTTGTATTTGGGGGGGGTTCAATCTTTTGCTTCCTGAGCCCCACCAGGTTCCCAAATCCTCTTTAGGCTGCCCTAATAAAAGTGTGTGTGTGAACAAAGTTGATTTCGTTAGATGCATCAGAGTTTGGGGGAAGAGAAAAGGGAGAAAACCCTAACCTTTGTAGGATGTGTGTGTGTGTGTGTGTGTGTGTGTGTGTGTGTGTATGTATATATGTATGTATGTATGTAAATGTAGGCAGAACAAGTTCCCACATTGGCCACATTTTAAAATTAGTCCATCCCCTCTTGGTCAGGAAGTAAGTAGCCTGCTTTATCATAGTTGTTATTACATTGATCAGAGTTCTTCAGTCTTTCAAAGTTGTTTGTCTTCATTATATTGTTGCCATACTGTAAAAATTGTTATCCTGATTCTCAGTTCATATACCTCTCTAGGTTTCTGTGAAACAATCCTTTTCATCATTTCTTTTGTTTTAATATATTTCTGTTTATTTCATTAAATATTTCCCAATACATGTAAAAAATTTTGACTTTTTTTTAAATTTTGAGTTTCAAATTTGCTCCTTTCTTCTTCCTGCCCTTCCCCCACCTTGAGAAGGCAAGAAATATGATATCACTTATATGTATGAAGTCATCCAAAATATATTTCTGTATTAGCCATGTTGCAAAAGAAATTATACACACACACACACACACACACACACACACACACACAAAACCCAAGAAAAAGAAAGAAAATTTTTAAAATTTGCTTCAGTTTTCATTCAGACTCCATTAGTTCTCTTTGTGGAGGTAGATAGCATTTTTCATCATGAGTCCTTGAGATTGTCTTAGATTGTTGTCTTGATCAGGGTTGATCATCCTCACAATATTGCTATTACTATGTACAATTCACCATTTCTTAAAGTACAAGAACATTCCATTACATTCATGTACCATACTTTGTTCAGCAATTCTTCAATTGACAGATACTGCCACCCCCCTTCCCCCACCAACTTTCCATATAACAAAAAGAGCTTCTGTAAATATTTTTGTGCACTTGAATCTTTTTCCTCTTTATTTCTTTAGGATATAGGCTTGGTACTCGTGTCTCTGGGCCAAAGGGTATGCATGTTTTAGTGGCTTTAAGGTCACTTTTGTAACAAAGTTCCAAATTTAAATGCTGTTTCTGTTTACAAAAGCAAACTTAACATCTCCTAGTTATACTAAAATGTGAGTCCCTTTATCTTTTCCTTTCTGTGTATCCCTGGCACTTAACATAGTGCTTCAAACTTAGTAAGTACTTAAAACTGCTTATTGATTGTTGACTATAATGACTAAGCTTGGCCTCCATAAGGTTCCTCTTTAACCTGTCTCCTCATAAAGCCTCTAACTTGCTTTTCCCAGTGAAGACTTCCAAAGCCAGGGTTAGAAGAGAGGGAGATTAGAGGAAGTGGTAGTGCTGATTGCAGACAGCTTTCTCAAGGAATATGGCTGGGAAAGGGAGGAGAGGGGCTAGCTTTGCTGCGTAGAAGGGCTAACCTCTTCATCAGAGACTGGGGTCAAGGAGGAAATGGTCAGGAATGATGTCAGGGGTTTGTGAGTTGAGTTGAGGAGAGGGAGCTCTTGGCTTACTCCCCACTTTGGCATCAGTGCCTCAAGACTGAAAGCCAGCTAGAGATTTAATCAAGTAAAAGAACTGGAGTTGATACTACAATCAATTTCGAATAGCCCAGAACTTAATTTGAACTTTTAAAATGCTGGATTCAGCGGGAGAAAGATATGGGTTCAGCTCCAGTAATGAAATCTACTTACCTGTGTAAGAAACTTAAACCTCTCTGAGCATGAAGGAAGACTTAAGTCATTTGTAGAGGGAAATACCACATCAGTGAAGTCACAGAGGTTTGATATATTGACACCCTGTTCTGCCTAAATAAAGTCACTGATTTTGAAGGTAAAACAATTTTCTCAGTCCCACCTTTGTTTTATGTTATGGCCTGGGATCCATCGGTCGTTGCTCTGGTCTTTGTTTATCACATCTGTAAAAAGAGGAATATTAGTTACCTTACCCAGAGTATTGTGAAAATTTAATTCAGCTAATATTTCCTAAGTACTTAGATGCTGGGATATAGATAAGGCAGAGCTCTCAATCCAGGAAGGAGATGGGACACATACATGGATAACCATCTTACAGGTTTATATGTATGTATGTGTGTGTGTGTGTATGTATGCATATGTGTATATATATAATAAAATTATGCATAATATATAAAACTTGTAAGTTTTATATAGAGACTAAGCAGGAAGGAGCCATTACTGACTTAGGGAGTTAAGGAAGGCTTCCTGAAGGAGCTGGCAGGTCTAGACTGGAACCTCTAAGGCCATTTCTAACTCTTAAGATTCTGCATTTCTTTAAACCAGCTATTGAAAAGAGGAGGGTAAAATAAGGGAAGGGTTGAGCATAGATATTTGAGTTTATTGTGCTCATAGGGAACTAATATGTGATTAAATGTTTGTGGAAATTCTTGGTTTGTGTGGTGGGGAGGAAAGAATTGTAAGTATGTGTAACATGTAAATAAATACTTTATATAATTAAAAACCTCTGAGAACAAGTACCGTGACCTCCTAGGAAGAAAGGTGCTACATTATACAAATATAAACTCTACTGACTTGCTTTATTTCAGCCTTTTTACCCGTAGCTCATAGCATTTTTGTTTTTTATTTATTTATTTGTTTATTTTTTGCTTTTTCCCCCAGATAATTGTGTCCAGAGATCTTCAAGGCCATCCATGGAAAATATGCACCACAATCCTCCTACCATTGAACTCTTGCATCGTTCCAGGTCGCCTATTACAACCAACCACCGACCTTCCCCAGACCCCGACCAGCGGCCCATCCGGTCCCCGCTGGACAACATGATCCGCCGCCTTTCCCCATCTGAGAGGATCCCAGGACCAAGGCTTCACCAGGAGAACAACCACCAGGAGTCCTACCCTCTGTCAGTGTCTCCCATGGAGAACAATCACTGCCCGCCCTCCTCGGAAGCCCACCCAAAGCCATGTAGCCCTCGTCAAGAGAACACTCGGGTCATTCAGCTGATGCCCAGCCCCATCATGCATCCCTTGATACTGAACCCCCGGCACTCAGTGGATTTCAAACAGTCCAGGCTGTCAGAGGACGGACTGCATAGGGAAGGCAAGCCCATCAACCTGTCACACCGGGAAGACTTGGCGTATATGAACCACATCATGGTATCTGTCTCCCCTCCAGAGGAGCACGCCATGCCCATTGGGAGAATAGCAGGTAAGCTGGGGCCAGGCTCCGTGGCTTCTTCTCCATCCCTAGTGTCAGCCAGGCCTCGCTATGACCAAGCTCAGGAGTCATCCTGTAGAGGCTATGGAACAGCCTTACCCCGCTCCCAGCGAGGTGCCCCTCAAAATTGTGTCATTGGAAAAGTCTTCAGAGTAGCTGAGAGGCATCCCCTAACAGAGCCATCTATGAATGAGCTTCTGCGATGGGATAGTTAATGATCCTCTAAACATTTTTAAAAAACAAATGTCCAAAGTCCAGTCGACAAGGGAAGTCAGCGAAGAGGCATGGCTGAGCAAAAACACCTAAAATGAAAGGTTTATGACCCCATTAATGGTCCTGTCCTCAAGTGTTCATCGGCTAATTAATGACCAGACAGAGCATAAAGAAGCTTTGCCTCAGATGCAGGCCTTTAACAAGCTCTTCAGGTAGTGAGCTGGTGTGGCTTTCACCTTGAGAGGGTATAAGTACAGGATTGGGACTCTCATTTCCAGGGCAGGTGCTCCTGGGTCATTTGGTCAAGGAAACCACACCCAGCATCTTCCTTGTGATGACAACCCCGGATTTGCGTAGACACGCCAAGAAATCAAACCCGGAGCAAATGGGAGCTTGGGACTTTAGCTTCTGCAATTATAATAAAGAGAACTCGGCCTTCTCCTGAGCATGCAGGTTTACAAAGTACTTCACAGCACTCGTTTGAAGTAGATAGTAGCATTAACAATAACAACAACAACAATAACAATAACTGACATTCAATAGCACTTCAAAATCTGTAAAGTACTTTACACATGTTATCTCATTTGAATCTCACAATAACGCAGTGAGTTGGCACTGTTACAGGCATTATTGTGCCAGTTTTATACATAAGTAAATAGGTGAGAGAGGTAAATAGATGGTGTGGCACTGTGGAAAGGGTTCAGTTAGAGTTACAGGATCTGGGTTCAAATGTGGGCTTTTCTCCTTACTGCCTGTGAGAGCCCAAACAAGTCACTTTATACGTCTGGGCCTCAGTTTCTTCATCTGTAAAATGAGAAGATTGGTCTTGATGACTTTCCAGCCCTCTGAGCCTACAACTCTGCCAGTGGTCATGCAGCTTAGTACGTGTTAGAGGCAGGATTTGAACCAGGGTCTTACCAACTCCAAAGCCAGCCTTCTGTCCACAAGCACACTGGGTACCACTCCCGAGTATTGCCTGTATAAAATATGCCAGGAAAATAATTAACAAAGTAAATAAAAATGCAATGGAACATAGATAATGTTAATGTGTGGTTTTCTAAGTCAGTATGCTGCCATCAGGTATCCTTGCCTGTGGTATAGTGGCCCCCATTTTAATTTGAGTTTATCCAAGACCACACTGTCATTGTTGACATGTCTGACTCTTTGTGATCCCATTTGGGGTTTTCTTGGCAAAGATACTGGAGTAGTTTGCTATTTCCTTCTCCAGCTCGTTTGATAGATGAGGAAACTGAGGCAAGCAGGGTTAGGTACCTTGCCTAGGGGACACACAGCTAGTAAGTGTCTGAGGCCAGATTTGAACTCAGAAAGGTGAGTCTTCCTAACTCCAGGCTCAGGGCTCTAGCCACTGCACCACCTAGCTGCTCTGCATCATACTGTCTCATTACAATTATGCTCATACAAATTCTCATTCAACAGGGAAGTTGGGTGATTTGCCCTTGGCCAACCAGCTTATTAGGTGGCCTAGCCAGGATGTGTACCCAGCATGAACTCATGTTTGCATTCGACTTTAAGAGGCAGGCATTAACGCAGGTGAAATTGTGTGAGATTTTCCAGAAAACTACCTTTAGCCGCTTTGCAGGTTTCATTTTTCTGAGAACAGTTCTGTCTGCCTCTTCCACTGAAAATTAAGTGAGGAACAATCTCAGGAAAAAGACGTGAAGGTCCCTCCCATGGAGACCTGCTTCAGCTGCTCCGGCATTGACTCATATCATTGAGAGCTGTCAGGCCTCATTTGCAGACCTAAATTTATCTCCAGTCCCACAGAAAGCTCAAGTGTCGTCTCACCTTTTTCATTGTAAATAATTTACGTCATGAATGCTAGTTCAGGAAATAAAGTATATAGAAAAATTTGGTTTGTGTTTTAAAAGAAACAGTGATGAGAAGAGGAGAAAAAAGCCAACATCTTTAGGTAAACATACTGGCAGCCCCCTAAGTTACTGGGGGAAAGGGACAGGTTCAGCGCGCTGTTAACATACTGTGTGAGCTTTGTTAGCCCATATTTCTATAGCAATTTAATAGAAAGTACACTTTTGTGAGACCTGAAGTCAGGAAGACCTGAATTCAAATCCCACCCTAGACACTTACTAGCTGTATGACCCTGGGCAAGTCACGTAACTTCTGTTTGACTCAGTTTTCCTCACCTATAAAATGGGGATAATAATGGCACTACTTCCCAGTGTGGTTGTGAGAATCAAATGAGATAGTAATTGTAAAGTGCTTAGTTAGCACAGTTCTTGGCACAAAGTCGCACTATATAAATATTATTATTATTATACCATACTATACTATACACTATATAAATATTATTGTTATTGTTATTATTATCCCTCTCTTACATTGGAGGAAACAGAGGATCACAAAGATTAAGTAACTTACCCAAGGTCATAGTTGGTAAAGGTTTATGATAATGCAATTAGCTATTATTAAGGTTTACAAAATATGTATGTATGTGTGTATTATCTAATATGTATGTATATATTATCTAATATATAATATATAATCTAATTGCATATCTAATCATATGCATGTGTATATATATATATACACATATATATATACATATATATATATACATATATATATACATATATATATGTATATATATACACATATATATATACATATATATATACATATATATATGTATATATATACACATATATATATACATATATACATATATATATATATATATATATATATATATATATATATATATATATATATATATGTAATCTCATTCTGGTCTTCCCAATAACCCTGTGAGGTAGGTGCTCTTGTTATCATCCTCATTTTATAGATGAGGAAACTGAGGCTAACAGAGCTAAAGTGATTTGCCCAGAGTCACACAGCTAATAAGTATCTAAGGTAGAATTCAAACTTGGGTCTTCCTGGCTCCAAGTCCAACACTGCCCCTCCTAGCTGTGTTTAGAGTCTTTAAATGTTGAAGCTAGGATTTGAATTTAGGCATCCAGTGCATCTTCCTGCCATGCCAGTTTTTTAGAGCCAGCCCTGTGATTTCATTGGTTTAGAGGAATTCCGTCTACCATGCTTTATTGGAAATGACCCATCTTTGGTGGTTCCCAGGCAAGACTCTTCTTGTATCAGTGGGACTGGCAGGTGGCTAGGATCAAGTTTCCAAATGGTTAAGAGCAGGGGTGGGGAATCTGCGGCCTTGAGGCCACATGTGGCCCTCTAGGTCCTCAAGTGCTGCTCTTTGAATCCAGACTTCACAGAACAAATCCCCTTAATAAAAGGACATGTTCTATAAAACTTGGACTCAATCAAAAGGCCATACCTAAGGACCTAGAAGGCCAGATGTGGTCTCAAAGGTCCAAGTTCCCCACCCCAGGTTAAGAACCTCACTCAAAAAATAAGAGCTGTCTAGGCATCCCGAGTCCTGACTGCATAGCTTGCTGTTTGTCTCTGTGTTCACCACATCAGACTCTCTACTCGTACCTCTTCAGTTGACATAACAGCTCTAGAACTAGAAGGAACTTCCGTGTCTTCTAGTCTAGCCAGTCGTTTTTACAAGTGAGGAAGCTGGTATCCAGAGTCATTAAGTGATTTGCTCAAGGTCACACAGGTAACAAGTGTGAGATTCTAACCTTCTAGCTCCAAATCCAGAGCAGATCTTCCATGAATGAATGAATGAATGAATGAATGAATGAAGAACATTTATTAAAGGCTGACTATATATTCAGTAGTCACTGTGCTTAAGCAGTGAGGATACATAACAAGCAAACATGACAGCCCTTGCCCTCATGGAGCTTACATTCTCTTTAGGGATGACAACACAGGGTAGCAGGCATTGGAAGGTGGGGAGAGTAGGCCCAGTGATCCCAAGACTGGGAAGAGGAGGAGGAGGCCAGAACACAGGCATCATTGCTTGGAGGTGGCCAGTAAGTGGCATGGTGGACCCAGAACCAGATAATAAAAACACCATTTGTTTGTGTGTGTGTGTGTGTGTGTGTGTGTGTGTGTGTGTGTTGTTTTTTTTTTTAAGTGAGGCAGTTGGGGTGAAGTGACTTGCCCAGATTCACACAGCTAGGAAGTATAATGTGTCTGGAGGTCGGATTTGAACTCAGGTCCTCCTGACTTCAGGGCCAGTGTTCTTTCCACTGCGCCACCTAGCTGCCCCAAAGCTCACTATTTGGACCCCAAAGTTCATATGAACCAAAGAAATTCTATATATTAGACATGTTTTATTTGGGAGTTTTCATTCTGGACCTATTATTCATTGGCATAAGGAACGCCTTTTGAAAGAACACCTTCTCCCTGTACAGGTCACTGATTAGTCTGTGCCTTATGGTCAGAGTGTCCTGGGACGCTGAAGGGTTTGATGACTTGTCCAAGGTCACAGAACCAGTCTGTGTCAGGGGCAGATTATGAACGCAGGTCCTCCTGACTTCAGGGCCAGCTCTCTACCGTGCGTCTCTTTTAGCAGGTTTTAAAAATTAATGTTAATATTAGTCTCTTGCAACTCTAGTCCCCATTTCTCCATCTCAGAGACTTTCTGTGGTGGATATACTTGTAAAATCAGAAAGCATACTGGAAAGCACACCAAGGTAGAGGAACCATCATGAAGACGGGAGGCCAGAGGATGTACCAGAAAGTGATTTGCAAGAGTTTAATCTCTAAATGTGCCTGGGGAATAAGGGACTCACCTGGGAAATGACCTTCAACCCAGCAAACATTTATTAAGTGTCTGCAGTGTGAGTTCTGTGAGTTCTTTTTTGTAGTGCTTTATTTAGTAT